ACTTAGAGCAAAATTCGCTTACATTCTGCTTCCCCAAATTAAGTACGATTGTTTTGATATTTCTAAATCATTTCTGTGGCTGTAAAAAGCCCTCTACAGACACATCAGATATACGATCCTTGTAAGGACGACGACAGACAAGGCCGCAGTTTAATGATCTGTTATGCAAATTAGCACGTTGCTAGGGCTAAAACATTGTTTATGACGCCATATTGAGATCACGTCACCCAACGAATTCCAACGAAGATTTTCGTATTTTCTTGCCACTTTCCATGCTACAATCAGATCAGTGTCACAACAAACATTAAGAACAGTGGTTTACTCGTGACAATTCAAGGCGACGAAGAAAACAATGCAGTGTGACGAAAATTAAGGGCGAATTAAGGGCAATTTTGCAGCTGTGTTGGACCGCACTGAAAACAAATCGAATACAAATACATAATAAATCCAGTTGTCATGGGGTTCCAAATACAAATTTGTCCAATTTTACGTGTCTTCTGGTCGATTTTGGTAAAGTGTTGTGTTCATCTGCCAACGAGCTCCAGCAAAACTCAAGTGCTTCTTGTAGAGAAGACTATATTCCACAAATATTGACTATTTTGTCAGAGATTCTTTACGTTTATATTTGACCTTTGTGGCCTTTTGTCTTTTGTCTTTCATTTGTAAACAATAGCTAAAACAATGTAACTACTCTGTCGACCAATCAGCACCTCTGACTGGATTCTGGACAGATTTTACTTCATCAGTATGGAATTTCTGTCGCTGAGTCGCAGACATTCCTCCGTGCGAAACATCCCCATCGACTAAGAGCCAGGAGAAAAGGGATGTTTTCGCAGGCTAGTGTATTTTTTATTTCGCAAAATTCTTAATCATTTGAGAAAAAAATTTTGCAAATGGAATTAGGGTTTATAGCTGATCTAATACCTTAATAAAGTTCATTATTATTTATTATGGTGTTTCTTGTAGAATTAATCGCCCCCCTTATTTTTCTATCTAATCTCCAAGCAGGCGAGACCTGAATGCTGCTGTAAGCACATTTTTGTGGTATAAATAACTACAGTGGTGAAAAAAGTGCAATTTTTACCCTTGACGTCTCGCCTGCGCCACAGACGAAACTAAACTCCAGTTAAGCCCTTCTGCATCTGGTGTTGCGTGTGGACCAACCTTAAGGGAACCTTCTTAAGGGAACCTTCTTCTTATGCCGATCGCATGACACCATCAGTTGCTTTGTTTAACAAGCTAGGTTGGATTCCGTTTTATGAGCAACATAAGATAGATAAATGCATAATAATGTATAAGCGAATTAATGGGTATTTGCCGAATTATCTAAATGAACACTTAATTTTGAATAATAAGCGGCACTCCCGCAACACTAGATATTCAAGCATTAATGCTGTTTGTCCTAAATATAGAAGAGAAACAGAGGGAGGACGCTCTTTTGCTGTTTCGGCAACAAGACTGTGGAATAGTACACCAATTGAAATTAGGAAACTAGATTCTGTAGCATGTTTTAAAAAGAACATGTTTGCCAAGATTTTTAAGGAACAACAATGTTTGCATCATTTTATCATTTAATAATTTTTTATTTTTATAAAATTCGAATCCTGTTTTATTTTAATTGTTTATATATTTTAGCTTACTATATTTATTAGATTGTAAATAGTTGTGTATTTTATGAGGGCCACAAGTTTATTAGCCTTTGGCTATTAAGTGCTACCCTCTTTAAATAAAGGCTTTATTATTATTATTATTATTATTATTATTATTATTATTATTATTATTATTATTATTATTATTATTATTATTATTATTATTATTATTATTATTATTATTATTATTATAGGGGCTATTTACATGGAGGCAGAAAGATTATAGAACCAGGCAGATCTTAGAAGTGGGAGTAACTTGTCATTTGGTTAATACATGCAGGGTTGTGGTCAGGTTAACTGTTAACTGCCCTTCAACAGAGGCTTTTTTGGCTAAATCTTGTAGTTTGTTTTTACTCATTTTACTGTGAGGCTGGAAAACATGAAGCCCATCTTCCTCCAATGTGTAGTTATCTTTCACTACATTCAAAAGCATTGATGCCGTTGTGTTAGTACTTGCTGCTTTTCTCTGTATGTGTATCTCTAAAGTGGACCACATATAGTTTTGAAACAAAACCTGTCCCAAATATTACATCCTCAATCAGAAACTACCAAAATAATCGTTTAATGATGACAGACAAATTTGTCCTGCACTTTCAGTTAGCACAGAAATATTCAAACATTTAAATACTCATGCCACAAATTCCACCTCAGGAGATTAAAAAAGGCATCGGTTTTGCCAATTTGTACAATGAAGGCCAAGTTTTCGCTGAAACTTTGGGATTTTAACATTTGAATTTTATGTACTGTTTAAAAAATGAGCAGGAGTGCATTACATTACTGTGAGTTTTTTAAATGGCTTCAAAATCTCTGATATAGATCAACTCATTCTTGCACTAATATTTAGATTTGGGGTTATTTCGGTCTAAAAATTGGAAGTAAAGTTTAGCCATGTCTATTTCAGATATAAAGACACTCATTAAACATCAATTTCATTTCTTTTTAATTATGAATTATTAATGAGTTTTTGAAATAAATTTATCAGTCAGTAAGTGCACGGACACAGCAAAGGAAGAAATTCATTTATTACTAAGAGTACAATCTTATTGGGTATTGCTGTGATGTATAGTACTGTTTCAGTAAAAAGCAATATAATATTGCTTGTGCTATAAAGATATTGCACATTTTTCCAGTGTTAAATTTTACAATGTTAAGTATGAAGTGAGCCAATCTTACACCAAGAAGCCATGTCTCAGTCTCATACAGTGCTAGTGGCAAAAAGTTGCAAGATCCATGTTCAGACACTTTTTTCTGTGTCTTTGCAACCTGACATTAGCACCCCATATTGTTATAAATATTATATGTTATTTTATTGATTTTATCTGTTATTATCATTAATTTTAATTTATTTCTTTTTAATGCACTGATTAGGATGTGAGATAATAAGAACTTCAAAAGATTCAACAAGCAGATCAGTGGACAGTGATGGCAGTACACCCCAGCTTACCACCGATTTTCCAGAGGATACAACTGGAAGATTAGACAGATGTGATGGTTCTGCATCACAGCTTACCAGCCGTAATGCAAAGAAGCCAATAAGAGGTCCTTCTGACCTTAATAAAGTTCCTCCATCCTTGGCTGACATTAACATAATAACCAAACCTTCAAAAGATGCTGATCACCCTGTTAATGTTACTGTCATGGAAGCAACAAACAGGAAGAGACTAGTGGCTGAAGACTCAGATGAAGAAGGTAATTATTTTTGTTACAAAATAGGTTCGCTTATAGTTGAGAGTGGAAATGTGATCTCTGAGGCTAAAAAAGAAGACCAACATAAAGGTACCTTCGAATTCTTCTGCTGGGGTTGTGAGGGGGGTTGTGTTAGAACTAGGAAGACTCTGGGAGGAGGGGACAACTTTTGTTTGGTTAATACATGCAAGGCTGGGGGCCGGTTTACTTGTAACTGCCTTTCAACATGGGCTCTTTTTAGCCCTACTAGCACAACACATTCTTATTATAATATTATTATTGACTCATCTTTAATTATTTTTAACCTCCACTGATCAGAATCCAAGATATTCAAACCTTCAGAGGATACAACTAGCAGATCAGAGGGCAGTGATGGTAACACTCCTTGGCTTACCACTGGTCTCCCGTTTAAATCAAAGAATCCTGCAAGCAACCCAAAGAACCAAAGAACCACATCAAAAAGAAAGATAAAAAAGAAAAGAAAGAGAGAAAGGAAGGAAAGGACTCCAAAGGAGTGCATTAGGGACCCTCCAGAACTTAATAAAATTCTCCCATCTTTGGCTGAGATTGAAGCAAAAAACAGAAAACATGCTGATCTTCCTGTTGATGTTTTGTTACTGACAGTGGAGGATTGTGAGTTTTTAGCTTGTTACAGTGAGCTAAAAAACCCTTATAGATGTTTTTTTCATGATCTTGGTTTTGTGTACTTTTCTGATGTGGGTGAAAGTCAAGAGGAAGTTAAAGTTGCATTGTTAAGATGTTACAAAAGTGGTCCTGGTGGTTCTCTCATCTCTGTAAAGAATGCTGCCACTGTGCTAAGACCTAGAGCAGTTATATCTGTTGGTGCATGTAGTGGTCTTCACCCTGAGAAATGCAAGTTAGGAGATGTTGTTGTTTCTGCCAAATTAGCAACATATGCATCAAAAGTGGTTTTCAATAATCAAGAGCAGTCAACTGGCATGAGGAGTTATGTGAGCAAACGCTTCCTGGGTATCATTAAGAATTGTGCGGATGGCTGGAAAGCACCTTTGAAGAACCTGGCTGATGCTCAACAAGTTCAAGTGTATACTGCTGCTGAGTTTCTGACTGGACCAGAACAAGTCATTTCTGGACGGCGATGTGATCAACTTGCTGAAACAAATCCTCAGGCAATAGCAATGGAAAATGAAGGGGAAGGTAAGTTGACTGTTGTTTTTGTTTGTCATTACAGCAAAATAATTATATGTAAGTACACTGTACATGTTTGATTATGGCAAGTCTTGCCTGACCCTCTGGAAAAATTTTTGGCATTTTAATCTCCCTCCCCCTCCCCCTCCCCCTCCCCCATGGAAATTCCATTGATTATCCATGGGTAAGTTATGGATATTTTTTGGAAAGACTTATTCCATTTATAGGTTATGGTTCACCTTTATACTTGGTTTCAATTTTATTTTCCCTTGTTTGAAACTCATTATCATACATCACCATACTCCAAAATAAAGGAAAATAAAATACAAACTAAGGACAAAATAATAATTATTGAACAACAACGTATACAAAGTTAACTGAAACCTTCCATAAAAGGTAAATCTTTTTTTCCTTAACTTTCTTCATGAATCAGCATGATTTGGGCTTAAAGAATGGTAATGACATTAAAATTTAGAGCTTTACTTGAGGTGGAAAGAAAGCATAAAATATTAAATAAATTCAACACCTTGCTGGCCAGGAGCCTTTTGTATGAGGTTGATTCTTGAATTACCCCACAGGGGACTTTAGGAATCTAAAACTTCTCTGTCAAGGTCATGCCATTATTTTTGTAAAACATTGCTGATACTTGTAAAATGTTCTGCTCCTTACCCCACCCTCCCTTTAGTAAGTTAATATGTTTACTATGCGACCCTAATGTTCCACTGGTAAGCAGTGAGATGGCGCCAGTGTGGATGCCACTCAAAGGGTTGTCAAGGTTATGTGCTGCACTTGGTAGCATTTTGGGTCCACAAGCCTTGCAGGCACCTCGCCATNGGAGCCTTTTGTATGAGGTTGATTCTTGAATTACCCCACAGGGGACTTTAGGAATCTAAAACTTCTCTGTCAAGGTCATGCCATTATTTTTGTAAAAAATTGCTGATACTTGTAAAATGTTCTGCTCCTTACCCCACCCTCCCTTTAGTAAGTTAATATGTTTACTATGCGACCCTAATGTTCCACTGGTAAGCAGTGAGATGGCGCCAGTGTGGATGCCACTCAAAGGGTTGTCAAGGTTATGTGCTGCACTTGGTAGCATTTTGGGTCCACAAGCCTTGCAGGCACCTCGCCATCACTCATCTTTGAGTTTTAATATTACACATTTACAGACCTTTTAAGCAAAAATGGCTGCTGTTGTTTTTCCATACTCTAAAAATTTGTCCAGTTCTTGGTTTATAGTCTGTGTAGTTGTGATTGATTCTAATAAAACTGATCTAAATTTAAGAGATTTCTATTGGAAAAAGCCACCCAGGTAGCCCACCGTGCCTTATGTTTCTTTAAGTTAACTTCTCATAGAATAGGAGTAGACTTGTACCCTTAAAACTCCATAAACTTTAATCTTAACTTTACTTTAACTTGATGCGTAATGTAAATAGTTTAATTCTATTGGTACGTTTTTAGAGGTGTGCTAAAGCAATAGCAGCTGAATGATGTCTCTGAGGTCCACACAATTTTTTTTGTGCATGTACACAGGACTGTCTTAAAACTAATGTACTGTTTGTTTTGTTTTCCTACAGGAGTATTTGCAGCAGCATTTGATTGTGGAATTGAGTGGTTAATTGTGAAAGGAATAGCTGATTATGCAGATGGCTCTCAGCTGACTTCTGAGAGTTGGTCTTCCTGTGCAAGTGTGATGGCAGCATCTCTTGTTGCACACATTTTGAATGAACCCTGCGTTTTTCATTCATGGCCTCATTATCAAGGTAACCATTCTCATAAAGGGCATAAAAATTATGATTTATTGAATCCATTGATGGGTTACTTAATACAGTCACAGATAAGCTACATGGTATAAATTATACGCACTTTGGGTACACACATGTATTATCCCAAATTCAGGTGTCCAATACACCCCACTTGTTCAAATTGTGTAAGTTTAGATTGAAGTTGCATAAGTCATATGAGTGATAGGAATTGTCAAACAATGTCTTTCATTTGTGTGATTGGTTGAAATGGTGAATGTGTTCCCTTTGTATTGGACAAGCCTGGATTTTGTTTAAGGTGGAGAGTAAACGAATATTTCAACAAACCACACGGTACGCCCACAACCCATGTTTCTTGTAAGCTTTGTGGGTAATCCGTATATCTTGATTTATCTCTTGCTTTATCATCATTTTTTTTTTAATATTCTGTTTAAAATTTTTATCTTGATATCATATTTTATTTTTCCTGTGATAGTTTAAAAATGTTGTTAGCAGAAAGTTTAATGAAGGATTCCTTCTTTTCTCTGGCATGATAAAAACGCTAACCCCGATTTGAACGATTTTGATGTCATCATGATATATCAATCAGTCATTTTGTCTGTTTTTGTTTGTTAAATGGTAAAATCACTTGACTAAGATTCGAGATTGTTAGGCCCGGTTCAGACGCGGAACTTTTCATGAGCCGAACCTAATTCGAATTAAGGTCGACCCAAATTATTTAGACCGGCTGAACTGATTTAGACGCCGTTCTTAATTGCAGCTGAACTAAGTTCAAAAGGTGAAAAATGCTCATTTGGGTCAAACTGCTTACAAAATACGTTATAATGATTTATGCATTAGGCCCGGGGAGGGGGGGGTACTTTAGGAATTTCTGGGTGGGGATGTGCCGCTGGGACCTTGAAACCCTTAACCTATACCAACTAAATTTTGCTACCCTATACTAGAGAAAACTCCCCAAATCCCCCCTATCCTAGAGTAGCTGTTTCCCAAGTCTAAGTAAAATCTTCAACCAACTGATCAGTTTCCTGAAAAATGATACCCTATTCTAAACCCAAATGTTCTGATTTATATACCCTATCCTAGAGTAAACTGCTTGAAAACCATACCCTTCACAGCGGCACATACCTCTATAGCCCATATGTGGCAGTATCCCCCCCCCGGGGGGGGGGGGGCATTAGGTTCGGTACATGAAAAGTTCGGCGTCTGAGTCAAAGCGGTTCCAAAGTCGCTCCAAAAGC